CGCCGAAGACTACAGCTAGCGCTACCACTACTGCCTAGCGCTGGAGACTACTGCAGCGCTCCTCCTGAGTGCTGCGGCCGAATCCTGAAGACTACCTCTGCCTACTGACTACCTCTTGAGCCTGCCGAAGGAAGGCAGGGGCTGCAGCTGCAGCTCCTGCTCGAGCACGTGAGGAACAGGCTATTTTGGGCCTGTTCCGCATCCCTGTTTCCGTGCCTGAGTCTTAGGGGCAGGTCGAAACAATGAGGGCCTGAAAATGGCCYTCCGTTTCAGGCTGAAAACTCTGGGTCTGAAAAGACCCAGAAATAGGCTGAAACGAGGTAGGGCCTGCAGGCCCTCGTTTTTCAGCATCCAGGCTGAAATGAATGGGGCCTGTAAGCCCTAAGTTTTAGGCTTTTAGGCTGAATGTCCGGGACGGGCCCTGTAGGCCCGTGTGGCTATGCAGTATGCCACAATTCCGACCACGAAACGTTGAGGTGGTTGAAGATGCAGGCCAAGCTGACACCTAACCTTACTAGGTGGGCCGCAAAGAGAGAGATCAGTTTGACTTTGAGCTCAAGCCAGTCAAAGGAAAGTACACTCTAGTTGCGGACGCTCTAAGTAGGAGAGCCGATTATTTTGGAGCGATAGTACACTATCTGGACATAGGGAGAGACCTGCAACAGAAAGTCAAAGAGGCTTATGCGCAGGACCCTATTTATAGCGACCTCCTCAAGAGAGTTAAGGAGTCCCCGAAACCCGAACCAGATTACCGCATTACAGATGGGTTGTTATTCGAGAAGACAAACGTAGCTGATCGACTATGCGTTCCCAACAGTGAGGAGATCCGTAGTTTGATCCTAGGGGAATGCCACGACACAGAGGGACATTTCGGTTGGCAAAAGACATTACTAACGTAGCCGATCGACTATGCATTCCCAGACAGTACAAAGTCAGATTTGCTTATCAAGAGCCAGAGGATGACCGCTGGTTTACACAAACAGAACTGCTAGAAACTGCCCCTGACATAGTCCACGCCTATGAAAGAGAGAGGAAAGGTAAAGACCCTGTCTTGAACTAGAATATTCTTGGAGGACCTCGAATTTAGGCCGGCAGGAGTGAAACGGTTTTCACCTTTGCAGTAGCAGATGCAGATCCCAGGGCTCGATCCCTAGACCTTGTCCTCACCTGTGTACAGTACCAAGTCGACCCCTGTGTTTAAACCCGTGACCTGTGTCTTGGTAGTTGGCTGTTGTCTGTTGTAGGTCTGTTGTCGGGTTTTGAACCGTAGGTCTGTCAAGTAGGGGTCATAGCTGTGTAGAAGTCGTAGCTGCTACAGTCCTGAAAGGTTGAGGTCGTAGCTGCTATAGTCCCGAAAGGCCAACGCTACAGAATTCCGGAACGTCTGGAAGTGGCCTTACGAGTCGCCAGAGTCAGGCCAGAGGCAAGTGGGCAAGTGGGCAGTCCAATCTCGTCTAGTCAGCAGTACCCAGTCCCAGTCGCACTTTGTCCGGTCAGCAAGTACCATCTGGGACTGTGTGCACCCAACGCCCGGTGGAAAGGAGCAGACCAGTGACCAACCGAAGTATAAATCGAGAGGCAGCGTCCAGTTATTCATTCGTTCAGAATGTGAGCCGTGCGGAAGCACTGCCTAAGCGACTTCTGCAAGGAGGTCTGCAGGTGCCCAAGGAAGAAGTGGGCTGAAAGGGAGACGAAGCGGCCATAGCCGCTAGTTAGTGGTAGAGGTAGAACGCAGCCATAGGTGCTGTAGGTTGGAGGTAGACTACAGTGTGTATGTGAGTGAGTTAGGTGACGGGTGTGAGCATGTGTGGGACATCCAGGAAGGTCCAGAGTAGCGTGGATGTGAACAGTTGTTGAGGATACAGTGTCGGAAGGGTGATGTGAGGGCGCACAGGCGCCATATCCATTTTTGAAGTAATCTGAATCTGAACTGTGTTTTTGTTTGTGATATCTCTGAGTTTTATGTGGGCGCCTGGCGCCAGGTGATCGCCATCTGTTTTCGTGCATGCTGGATAAGGAAGAAGACGAGTCTGATTGCAAACACAGCTTTTCCACATTCTATCCAGTCACAAGTAGGAAGTTTGGAGGAGAACCTTCACTTGAGGCTTGTGGTCTTTTATTGGTCTGCAGATCGGTTTGCGTGGGCTGAACCAGCAACCAATCAACCCAGGAGGTTCGTATATGGTATTGGAAACGATGTGGAAATCAGCAATTTTCACCTATGTGAAGTCAAACTAAGAACTTCAAGCTGTCCTTTTCCTGTTTTCGATTGCAGGGGACTGGCTTGCCTTGACTGCTTATCACGTGAACCTGGAACTGCCACTGTCGTCGGTAGCTGTCGCACGAGATGAAGCCACGATTGTCGTGGAGACACTCAAAGCCACTCTACTGGGATCCAGGTGTGCCAGCTGACTGATCCAGGTGTGATCCGGGTGTGCCAGTTGACTGTTCCAGCTGCGATCCAGGTTTTGTTTTGCCCAGTTTTGTTTGGTGCATGGTGTCACTTGCTGTGCATGTTTTTTTGGCTCGTGAAGGCTGATGTGTTCGGTGTGCAAATGTTGTTGATGTCAACCTGTCTTGGAGCGTGGAAGGTTGTTGGGCGCATCGGTTGTGCTTTTTTAATTCTTTGGGGCGACTTCATTACAGTCAGAAAAACAGTTTGAAAGTAAAATTCACTTTAATTCAGGCATTCCCCTGAACACAGCACAAGTCCATGTAACCCTACCTGACCGGAAAGGTAGCTTGTATACATTGCCCACAGTGAAATTTGAAATTGTCTTTTGCTTGGAAGTGTATTTTCAAACTCTTTCTGTGACTCCCGCGTAGTTTCCCGTTATTCTTTTTCTTCTGGGCCATTTGCGTAGGTTACTAGGCCCTCCCGACCAGGGTGGGGAAGGGAAGGTGTGGCCAGTCAATCGGAGGGAGGGGCAAAAAGTGCCTGAGAACTTTGTTTTTCTTTTTTCTGATTGAGCAGCGTGACTGCACTTTTCAAGAACGTGCAGAGTCCACCTTTTGTTTTCTTAAAACTTGAGAGTCGACTTGTGTAGGGGGGTGCAAGGGCTTGGGTTGGGGATGAGTGCTGGGTGGAGCGAAGGGGGTTGGAAGAAGACAAGAAGAAGGTTGCGGAGGGAAGTTGATGCTGGACGGAAGAAGATGGTGGAGAAATAAGGAAAAAAAGAGCAGCAGCAGCAGAAGAAGAAGAAAAGGAAAGGGAAGGAGAGGAAAGCGGTGCAGATTGGTTTAGACCGGCGGGAAAGGGACAAAGATGGCTTTAGACCCCTAGAGTGGTTCCAAGGGGTGGATCTTTACTTCTTTTTTGCCTGTCATCCTTGCGCAGGGGCCATGGTAATCTTCTCTGTATTGTTCCAATTTTAACGGACGTCCCGAATAAGAAGCAATTTGATGATGACCCTCAGCCAAAAGATGTTTGTACTACCATTTTACACACCATATGTCTCTTTGAGTTTTTTTTCCCCTTCTTAGGCTTCTTTTGTTAAGTTTGTCCTGGGAATGCCTGGCACCTTGCCTGGGACGTTCCTGGGGTGCAGGGCCGCTGAGGTGGTAACATGGCTATGTCGCGATTTATGTGTGCCATATGGGTCTGGAATGGCAGCATGATATGCTGCAATTGACTCTGGTCCAAACCTGGACGCAAATTCAAAAGGCTACAGTCAAAGTGCAGGTCTTGTTCTGTCTGATATCCACCTGCTGGAGCGCTTTGTCGCTAGAGCCTCAGCAGCTGCTGTCAAGAGAGTACCAAGGCATGTGGTGATTGTAGCCACCTGAGGGTAGTGTGGCGATGGTGGGTGGCAGTGTAACAGACGGAGGGGAGGTAGCATTTGTGATTAAGACTAGGCAAAGAAGATAACCATGGAATTCCTGGAGTGGAACAAGATGGCAGCCATAGCGAGAGCGAAGGATTTACGTAGCTCCATATTGTGCATGCTGGCAGTAAGAGTCCTAGATTGTGTGATGCTTGCCTTGAGTGGCTGTAGGTGGTAGCACTGGCAGAGGGAGGGAGGCTAAACGTCTCTTTAAAGCAGAAGAATGTTAGGGCCCTAGCTGCCTGATGACAGATGTGAGGGAGGGAGAATTTCCGCCTGCTGTGGAAGAATGCTGGGACCCTTACCTTCCAGTTATGGTGTGGAAGAATGCCAGTGTGGTGTGTAAGACTACTGGCATCCATGACAAAGGATAGAACCGTAGATTGGCCGGAGTGGGAGCAGCTTGCACTCATATGTTGCATACCGTATAGGTGCAGACCAGAACAAGAACCGACCTTTCAATACAAAGTATAAAATAGCACAGCGGAAGACTTAGATACCAATGATCCGAACAATCAATATTGCAATGCAGCCCCAAACATACATCATCATCCTCATTCCATGGTGTGAAGGGGTCTGGCGCTTCACACAGGAAGACTGCGCCAGCCCCAACCATACACAGACGAAGGAGATGGGGGTTAGACGAAGAAGAGGGGAAGATGGGAATGTCGTCAACACCAAG